CGTTTCACGTACCTCAAAACCTGTCAGTAAACTTCTGATGGCTTCATGCAATCCTCTCTCAGCGGATGAAATCCTTTCAATCACCATACCCATTAACGCACGGTGATCTTCTGAGATAGACGCTCGTCCGAGCAGATCCTTCAGCTCCTCCGACCATACACCATATGGTGCCGGACTCGTCCGATGGCCTTTTTCGATGGCCGGATGCGGAGGGCTTCGAGGGGACATACGACTACCTTCCGGCCCCGCCGGACTCGGAGAAACCCTCCGCGATGACACCTCAGGGTCGCCCGCCTCGTAAGACAGTACGACAGGGGGAGGCGTTTCGCTCTCTATCATCTCCGGACGAAGATCCCCCGAAGATGAGCTCTGCTGAGAAGGGCTGAGATCCGAACTACAAGGTAAAATTTCAGTTATCAGAAATAGGGCAGGGATATCCTTTATTTTAAAGAACTCCCCTTTTTACTTACGGCTCGGTGGAGCGCTAATCCCCTTGGGGGCACAATGCGGCTGAGGCATCCCTCGGCGCAGGACCCTCTGACGATTTCTTCCCCCGCTTTGAGACCTTGGTCTCCGGGTCTTCCGAGGCGGTCCTCTTCTTCCCCTGGATGGAGGGATTCTCGATCCCTCCTTTCCCGACAACCTCCTTCGCGGAGGCGGTAGCTTCCTTGTTCCCCCCTTCACCTTCTTCCAAAGGCGCAACCTCCAGCATCTTGGTTAACACGGGATCCGGCGTGGTCTCAGGGAGGGGGGCCGGACACCTGATTAGCTTTGCTTTTGCTATCCACTCCTGTTCAAAGGACAGCTCTTTTGAGAACAAATTCATGATAAACATGGGATAGCGTGTCCGGGTACAGGGCTACTTACTTGAGTATCCGGGCGATTGCAGCTCAGACCTGCGTCCTCGGTCAAGTCCGGACACATCGCTTGTGATCCGAAGAAAAGCTTGTACATCTCCACGGGCGTCGCGCCCATGAAATGTTGGAGAGCTCGTGGTCCCTCCGGGTTAAATTCCCACAGGCGGAGGGGGCGACGTTTGCAGGGCAGGATGTGACGAATCAGCATGACCTGCGCTACTACGATCAGAGTGATCTCTCTCTAGGAGATCTTGAATGCGGCCCTGCAACAAGGGCACGTCCTTGGACGGCCCCCAGTCAAGTCCTTTATTGAGCCATGACACCAGCCGCGATGGAGGACCCGAGCGAAAGGCAGGTGGCGCCACCCATTTGGTGCCCCTGGGAGCTGTGATATAAAACCACTCTTGTTGCCATAGGCTGAGCTCCTCTTGAAAAGAGCCCTCGGTCCATGGAGCATCAGCATTCTTGCTTATAACAGCCCCTTCGCACTCTGCCTGCTGCCCCTTGATCATCTTCGGCTCCACTTTGAAGGTCTTGAGCCACAATCCGAAGTGAGGGGTGATGCGGAGGAAGACTTCGCATACGACAATGAATGATGAGATGTGGAGGATGGACTCCGGATCCAAGTCATGAAACTCCAGCCCATAGTAAAACATGAGCCCCCTCACGAAGGGGTCCGTCGGGAAGCTTAGCCCCCGAAGGAAGTGAGACGCGAACACCATGCTTTCACCAGGCTTGGGAGTGGGAATAACCTGCCCTTGGGCAGGCAGCCTATGCGAAATTTCGCCGGTTAGATACCTGGCATCTCTTAGCTTTAGCACGTCTTCTTCCGTAATGGAGGAAGGAATCCACCAGCCTTTCAGGTCGGAGCCGGACATCATCAAAGGTCCGAAGCTCCTGAATCTGGAGCTTTGGGTGTTGGAACTCGAGGCAAAGGGCGGATTCAATTGAGATTGAAAGAAAAGAGTGGAGCCTTGGTCTCTTTATAAAGAGGTTGAATACCAAGAGCCTTCCCCGTGACCGTTCGGGACTCGCCTTCGATAGAGGAGACGTGCCAATGGGCACGGTTGGGTTACCTACGCCCGTATTAATGAGAATCCCGGAATAAGGGGACACGATCTCTGCTTCGACAGGACGTGCCAAGGAAACCACCTCGCTAAACGCGCTGAGGTGGGATAGTAAAAACGATTCGAATAAAGGCTTGGCCGTGGTGTGATGTCACGCCACGAAATACGTCAGCAGATTGAACTTGTGTAAATATTAATCTCTCTACGGTGGTATGTGGAACTTATTTTGCAGAGCCGGACACTATCCTTGTGTTCAAAATCTTTTATGAAGTATTCGGAGGAGGAACCAGCCTTGCAATGCCGAAGACAATATGCACGCCGGACTCGTCGTCATTGAAGCCTGGTTCAGGGGCTACTGAGGGAGTCCCGGACTAGGGGGTGTCTGGATAGCCGAACTATCATCTTCGGCCGGACTCCTAGACTATGAAGATACAAGATTGAAGACTTCGTCCCGTGTCCGGATGGGACTTTTCTTGGCGTGGAAGGCAAGCTTGGCGATACGGATATGTAGATCTCCTACCATTGTAACCGACTCTGTGTAACCCTAACCCTCTTCGGTGCCTATATAAACCGGAGGGTTTTAGTCCGTAGGACGAACAACAATCATACCATAGGCTAGCTTCTAGGGTTTAGCCTCTCTGATCTCGTGGTAGATCTACTCTTGTACTACCCATATCATCAATATCAATCAAGCAGGAGTAGGGTTTTACCTCCATCGAGAGGGCCTGAACCTGGGTAAAAACATCGTGTCCCTTATCTCCTGTTACCATCCGCCTAGACGCACAGTTCGGGACCCCCTACCCGAGATCCGCCGGTTTTGACACCGACAAGCCATCTTGGTCTAAGAAGCTCAAATAGAAGATGAAGAAGTTGTTTTGCCTTCAGGCCCAGGGTCAGTATAAGGCTCATGTTGCTGACAAGATGGCCCGTCGTCGATACAAGGCCATGATGAGGCATGTTTGCCTCACTGTTCCTAATGAGTCTGAGGACAGGATCACTAATGAGGAGCCTTGAATCCTTGCTCACTACCCGTGGACTGATTCTGACGATGGCCCTGGAGGACCTTCAACTGTTGTAGAGGAGTCTCAGGAGGAGAAGGAGGATGTGTGATGATGTCTTGGAGGGTTGCTACCACCGTCGTGCTTAGGTGTCCTTTCTACTCTTGTGGTGTCTTGATGCTAAAGGGGGAGAGAGTATAGGATTTATAGTGTGTCGTGAGTTGAGTGTGTCTTTCTTTGTCACTTGCAGTGTGTGTGTGTGTGTGTGTGTCTCGTGAGTCGAGTGTGTCTTTCTTTGTCACTGCTTTCGTTTGCTTTGGTTTGTGTTTGTCCCGTAAGTCCGAGACCATATGGTGTGAGAAATATGAACTATCCTTCTCTATCTATTTAGGTCAAGTACTTTATGTTATTACTTGATTCTGAGTTGTACCTTATGCTTATGCTCTTATTCATATGCTCACATGGTGTTACTTGCTTACTATCCTCCTTTTATACTTGTGCAAGTATGGCTTGGTCTATAAAATATAGGGGGAGTGTGGATCCTATATGTGTGTATTTTGAATTCCAAAAGCATATCTAAAATAGTGCACACATATAGGGGGAGCCTGTCTATATTTTGGAGATTGTGGGGTTGCACACCTTCTTTTGCTATATCCTTTGTGCAAATCCCACATTGTCATCAATCACCCAAAAAGGGGGAGATTGTTAGGGCATATTTCTCCCTAAGTGGTTTTGGTGATTGATGTGAACATGTTTGCGGACTAATCGTGTGCACTGAGCATTTCAGACTACAAGCATATGGCACAAGGCGATTCGTATCCCTCGAAGTTTCAAGAGAAGACAATTTTCTTTCTCGCGGTTCCTTTCTGGTGATCTTGAGTCGTAGGGAAAACTGTACTATCAAGACGGGGTCCGCGTTGGAAAGGTTTGGGTGGAATCAACACGTGCACACTCATATTGCACCCATCGTTCCTTTCCACTCTTCGGAGTAGTCCGCCGTTTGCATCGGAGTGGGGGCAAAGAGCCACCAGCGGTAGTACTACTGTTACCACCACTCATACTACTGCTCAAGGATGGAGCCTTGACTTTTCATGTCAGATTTTACGGTATAACCTCCGGGTCTCTAATGTGCTATCTGTTTTCCCCTGGAATACTAGCGGTTGTGGCAGCGGTAGTACAACCTTTCGGTGGTAGTACCGCTCCTACTACCATGGCCACCACCGTCCGTATCTCTGCTTTTCCCCCTGTTTCTCGTTCTCTCCTGAGATGCCCTCAGGGTGCGGTAGTACCGCTCCTGGAGCGGTAGTACCGCCCGTCTGCAGGCTGGGTGGTGGATAATGGTTGGTTTTGTCTTCCCACTATAAAAGGGGGTCTTCTTCCCCAAGAAGATTTTCCTCTTCCTCCCCCAAACTCCATTGTTGCTCCAAAGCTCATTTTTGCCCGATCTCTCTTCCTAGCCAATCAACCTTGTTGATTTTCTAGGATTGGTTGAGAAGGCCCCGATCTACACTTCCACCAAGAGATATTTGATTCCCCCACTAATCCCTTGCGGATCTTGTTACTCTTGGGTGTTTGAGCACCCTAAACGATTGAGATCACCTAGGAGCCACATTCCATTGTGGTGAAGCTCTGTGGTATTGTTGGGAGCCTCCAATCAAGTTGTGGAGATTGCCCCAACCTTGTTTGTAATGGTTTGGTTGCCGCCTTCAGGGGCACCACTAGTGGAATCACGACATCTCGCATTGTGTGAGGGCGTGAGGAGAATACGGTGGCCCTAGTGGCTTCTTGGGGAGCATTGTGCCTCCATACCGCTCCAATGGAGACGTACATCCCCCAAAGGGAAGGAACTTCGATAACACATCCTCATCTCCACCGGCTCTACTTGTGGTTATCTCTTCCCTTTACTTGCTATTGTTGTGATGCGTTCTTTGCTTGCACTTGTTGTTGTTGTTGTTGTTGTTGTTGTTGTTGTTATTGTTGTTTCACCCCCCTCTAGTCAATCACATCGATCCTTTCAACCGCAAAAGAAAAAGTACAGTGATACTGCTAGTGACATGTTTCGTCAATTTTGCCGCTCTCTAGTTTACTCTCATCAGAGGGCAACCTAAAGCCGATGCAACAGCAGCAGAAGCAGGCGCGCTGAAGAAGCTCACGAGGAAGTTGCCACACTTGTAGAAGTACTCCGCCTTCTCCACCCACGTGTCCTCGTCAACCTATCATCACATTGTTGGAGAACCATGATGATGTTTTCTCGGTTACTGGCTTACCATAAATATGAACTTTGAATGACAATGACACACAATTATACTGTGGAACTTATATGGAAGACGCAGACCCCAAAGAACTCGACCCTCTGGCCGTGTGGAGGGTGCCCCTTGAATGGCCCCTCCATGTAACCCCAGTGTCGGAACTTGAAGGCAACCCTCGGCGGGCCATTGTACACGTCTAGCACCTCAATGGCGAAGCCCCTGGGGAACGCCGTGAGGAACATCAACATGCCAGAATCGTCCGTCTCCTTGCCCGAGTTGTAGATGCGGTGCTTCGGTGACAGGGTGGTCGCCAGGAACGCGTTATAGCCACTGATGGCGATCACCTCCTCCTGTGTCAGAGGCTTCAGTCCTGCAAGTGGGCATGATTCGTTCCATTTTTGAGTGCCGCATGCTACCTCTTGAGCATGCGTTGGTTTTTCCCTTGAAGATGAAAGGGTGATGCAGCAAAGTAGCGTAAGTATTTCCCTCAGTTTTTGAGAACCAAGGTATCAATCCAGTAGGAGGATCCTCAAAAGTCCCCCGTACCTACACAAACAAACAAGAACCTCGCAACCAACGCGATAAAGGGGTTGTCAATACCTTCACGTAACTTGCAAAAGTGAGATCTGATAGAGATAATATGATAAGATAAATATTTTCGGTATTTTTATGATATAGATTGGAAAGTAAAGATGCAAATAAAAGTAGATGGGAAACTTATATGATAAAAGATAGACCCGGGGGCCATAGGTTTCACTAGTGGCTTATCTCAAGATATCATAAGTATTATGGTGGGTGAACAAATTACTGTCGAGCAATTTATAGAAAAGTGCATAGTTATGAGATTATCTAGGCATGATCATGTATATAGGCATCACATCCGCAACAAGTAGATCGAAACGATTCTGCATCTCTACTATTACTCCACACATTGGCCGACTCCTGCCTGCATCTAGAGTATTAAGATCATGAAGAACAGAGTAACGCATTAAGAAAGATGACATGATGTAGAGGGATAAACTCAAGCAATATGATATAAACCCCATCTTTTTATCCTCGATGGCAACAATACAATACGTGCCTTGCTGCCCTTGCTGTCATCGGGAAAGGACATCGCAAGATTGAACCCAAAGCTAAGCACTTCTCCCGTTGCAAGAAAGATCAATCTAGTAGGCCAAACCAAACTGATAATTCGAAGAGACTTGCAAAGATAACCAATCATACATAAAAGAATTCAGAGAAGATTAAATTATTTCTCATAGATAAACATGATCATAAACCCACAATTCATCGGATCTCGACAAACACACTGCAAAAAGAGTTACATCAAATAGATCTCCAAGAAGATCGAGGAGAACATTGTATTGAGATTCAAAGAGAGAGAAGAAGCCATCTAGCTAATAACTATGGACCCGAAGGTCTGTGGTAAACTACACACAATTCATCGGGGAGGCCTTGGAGATGATGTAGAGGCCCTCCATGGTCGATTACCCCTCCGGCGGAGCGCCGGCGAAGGCTCCAAGATGGGATCTCGCGGATATAGAAGGTTGCGGCGGTGGAAATTGTTTTTCGTGGTGCTCCTGGATATTTTCGGGGTACGTGGATATATATAAGAGGAAGAAGTAGGTCGGTTGAGCCACGAGGGGCCCACGAGGGTGGGGGGCATGCCCACCCCCCTAGGGCGGGCCAGGCACCCTCGTGGCCGCCTCGTTTGCTGCTTGACGGCCACTCCAAGTCTCCTGGATTGCGTTTGTTCCAAAAAGATCGCTCCCGAAGGTTTCATTCCGTTTGGACTCCCTTTGATATTCCTTTTCTTCGAAACACTGAAATAGGCAAAAAAAACAGCAATTCGGGTTAGGGCTCCGGTTAGTAGGTTAGTCCCAAAAATGATATAAAAGTGTAAAGTAAAGCCCATAAACATCCAAAACGGGTAATATAATAGCATGGAAAAAACAAAAATTATAGATACGTCGGAGACGTATCAAGCATCCCCAAGCTTAATTCCTGCTCGTCCTCGAGTAGGTAAATGATAAAAACAGAATTTTTGATGTGGAATGCTACCTAGCATAATTCTCAATGTAATTTTCTTTATTTTGGCATGAATGTTCAGATCCAAATGATTCAAAATAAAAGTTCATATTGACATAAGAAATAGTAATACTTCAAGCATACTAACAAAGCAATCACGTCTTCTCAAAATAACATGGCTAAAGAAAGCTATCCCTACAAAATCATATAGTTTGGCTATGCTCTATCTTCATCACACAAAGTATTTAATAATGCACAACCCCGATGACAAGCCAAGCAATTGTTTCATACTTTAGTATGCTCAAACTTTTTCAACTTTCACACAATACATGAGCGTGAGCCATGGACATAGCACTATATGTGGAATAGAATGATGGTTGTGGAGATGACAAAAAGAGAGAAGATAGTCTCACATCAACTAGGCATATCAACGGGCTATGGAGATGCCCATTAATAGATATAAATGTGAGTGAGTACAGATTGCCATGCAACGGATGCATTAGAGCTATAAGTGTATGAAAGCTCAACAAAAGAAACTAAGTGGGTGTGCATCCAACTTGCTTGCTCACGAAGACCTAAGGCATTTTGAGGAAGCACATCATTGGAATATACAAGCCAAGTTCTATAATGAAAAACTCCCACTAGTATATGAAAGTGACACCATAGGAGATTCTCTATCATGAAGATCATGGTGCTACTTTGAAGCACAAGTGTGGAAAAAGATAGTAACATTGTGTAACATCCCAAATCTATCATGAAAATCATGGTGCCCGCCGCCTCCCTCGCGCACGCGCCCGTGCCCGAGCCGGACTCCGCCGGAGTTCAGGATGCCCCTGCCACCGCGGCTTGCCCCCTCCCCCAAGCCGGCCCCACCCCGCCCTCTTTATATGCCGAACCACCGACGCCCTCAACCCCTGCCTCTAGAAGCAGCAGCAGCCGCCGCAGCCCGCAGCAGCCGCCGCTACAGCAACCCGCGCCAGCGCCGCCATCGTCGTGTTCCGCCATCGCCCCGTCTCGCTGGAGCCGCCGCCGGTCCCGATCCGATCCTCCCGCCGTTTTTTTGGTTTTTAGGTAAAAACCCTGGGTTTTTTAAAACCCTAGATTCGTTTTTTTAGATTAGATCGGTTCGGTTGTTCCGGTTTAGTTTAATAGCGGACGTTCGTTCGAACGTTCGTTTTAACGAACGGTGTGCACCCGTTAGCCGCACACAGCGAACGTTCGTTCGTTAGCCTGTTCGTCGGTTTTATTTTTCCAGGGTTTTTCCGCGATTATTTTCGATCGCGATTTCTTCCCTGATCTTCGTTTTAGTTTATCTTTTCGCTCGTTTATCGGAATCAGGCGATTCAAGCGCCCAGATCTTCGTCTTGAAGCCCTCTTTATGTTTAAACAACTTGAACAACATTTTGATACTATAAAATTTGACTTTAGTCCAGATTAGTAAACGGATCTTGTTTCTTTTGCAGTTTGAGTTTCATTGCTTCGTTTGATTTGATTCTTTTTGCAAACCGGAGTTCTTAAGTTGAACTTTCTGGTTAGATCTCTTATTCAAGTTTTACCCATGCTTCTAGTTTGAGTACTTATGTATGTTATTGTTTGTTTGCGATAGAGTACCCGTAGTGCGAAGCGTGCTACTACGAGTCTCTAGGTTTTGCGGATCATCATCAAGGCAAGTAACACTTTGATCATATCCCTTTACTACCTAGTTTTTCTTGCATTAGATCAACCCTCAAATATTGCATGGTTAGGATCTGATTAATATGTGGGTTTTGGGAAGTAGATGATGAGGTAGAACCTATTGCCCTGTTTATTATCAAACCTTTGGGAGTTACTTCTACGTTGTGTTTATATTACTATGCTATGCTCGTAGACGTGGTTTGAGTGAGTGTATCCATGACAGATGTGAGTATTGCTAATTAATGGTTAACTTAAGGTGGCTACTTTAATACACATCTGGGTGGATTGCTTGAGGCACCCTGGAGTACCCAGTGGTTGTCAGGACACCTGAAGAATCCAGTGTTGTCTAAGGATATCCCAGAGTACCCGTGTGATCATCCTACAGTCCGCCACCCAGGCTCAAAGGGATCATAAGATTATTCATTCTAGAAACTTCCATGTGCAGCCAAGCTATCATGGGCTCTAGCATAGTTGAGTATGTTGCATGACCTCTTTTAGTGGTGGGCTAGCAGATGTAGGGGAAAGTAGGTGTAACTCTCCACCCAGAGTAAAGAGTTATTGTTTCAGAAAGACTATGTCTCGAATCTCCGACCATGGATGTATTCGAGTCTTGTGGGGAAAAGTGCACAAACCTCTGCAGAGTGTACAAACTAATCATGGTTAGCCGTGTCCCCGGTTATGGATGTTTTGAGTATCTAGTTCTTGGATTATCATGTTGATCTCATCACTCTAAACTAATTTGATTGGGTTTAATGATGATGTTTAATTGGGATTGACTTGGAGGAACCTTCTCAATGTTTGACAACCACCATGATAGTTAAATAAAAGTTATTCCTTGGTGTAGGGAAAAATTGGCTTTATGAAAAACTATAACCATAGAGCTTTCCACCAGCCAAATATGCATGTAGTGATAGCATTCATTCTGTTAATTACACTATGTGTTACATTGCCAGCATATTCCATGTGCTGACCCGTTTCAGGCTGCAACGTTTCATGTTGCTGAATTTTCAGATGACGAGTAAGGTGCCATAGGTCGTTGTCTTTCACTCAGCCATGCCGTTGAAGTTGATGGACACACTTTATCTTCCAAGCCTTCCGCTGTTATCCATTCTAGATGGCCTTAAGCCATATAATTGTAATAAGTTCTCTTTTGAGACATTCGATGTAATAAGTGTGTGATTGCTACTCTGTTATAAACCCTTGAGTACTGTGCGTGTCAGCATTACCGATCCAGGGATGACACTGATGCACAGAGATCAGACTGTTTGAGGTTTGGTTGCTACAAGATGGTATCAGAGCACACGCTGACTGTAGGACACGACCACTAAGCTAAAGCCCAAGATCACTACTCTCTTCTCATTTTGACTCCTCTCCTTTTTTCTACTCTATAGGATGGCGGATGCAAGGAACAAGTTCAGACAACCGGATGAAGATACACCTTTTGGACGACACTTGAAGGAAGTTACTAGATACCTGAACATCGGAATACCAAGATTTACCGGGACCTACATCGCCACTTTACCAGAAGAGGAGCGTTGGATGATTC